TCTATCTATACAAATTTTTACAAAATATTAAGGTAATGTCAATTTAAAAAATGTTTAGTTTTATTTTATATTTGTTTGTGTACAAATACCAAATAGTTGTTTAATTTGTTAAAAAATAATGCTAAAATTAAAGGCTTCTTCTTCTTCTTCTTCTTCGGTAAACTCGGCCACTAGGACCATCCCGACATACATCCTTGCCTCCAATCCGAGGCTTGTTGTATGAATCCTGAACAAAAATCTTTTTACAAGACAGGGTCGTCGGCCGAATTTCATATTTTTTACTTAGCCACAGGGCCGGCCCAAGAATTTGCGGGGCCTGGTACGAAATAATTTGTTGTATGTATATATATAAATTATTAAATTAATAGTCGTTTGCTCGTGGACGTTGCGGGTGCTCGTGTAAAAAGTAAAAACAGAATAACATTTATAGTGCGAGAATCAAGTATCGTCCCGCGTCCGTATGCAATGTAAAAATAATAACAACAATAATTGTTATCGTGGGTTGACGACGACGACAAACAAAAATTGAAAAAAAAAAATAATTCCAAGAATAATAATAACGATCGATTCCTATAACATACTAAAAATAGCACGTTTGATTAGAGACGTCGGATCTATATGACCTAACGGTCGACGTGGCCAGTTAAGGGCTAATAAAAGAGTAAAATTATTTGTTTGTATAATTTTGGTAAGGTAAAGCGCGGGGCCTGGTGGCTGGGCACACTTCGCCCACCCCTCGGGCCGGCTCTGCTTAGCCATTTTCGGATACAGGGCAATTTTTTTTTTTCGGTCAAGCACATTTAGACTTTCGAGTAGTTCCGTGTTCAAAATGATTTATGTTGTCGTTTTGATATTTCTGATTTTGACAAACACGTGAAGAATTTTTTTTATCATTCGATTTTTTTATTATTCGCTAAACCTCTTGTTCGAGTGTTATCTCGGCAGCCTCCACCCCACACCACCGCAGTGCCTATCGACCGACCAACCGATCGTACCTGGACTTGTACCACTGTAAATATACCTACCTATTTGTTTTGCATGCTTGTATATACTATATTAGTTGTTAAGTGATAAACTTATTACTTTAAAGAGCTGGCCAGTAGGTAAGATCTTATTTTTATATAGTTATTTTTGGTCTGAATAGTAGTTTTCATGTTCCGTGTTGTATTTGTTAAAACCCTCTATACACCTTTCAAAATACCCAACACCTCTGTTGAGTTGTTTTGTATAAATTATTTTTACCTTCCCATTTTGAATAAGACCATTTTTTTTTATATATTGTATTTAGTTCAATAGCTTTCAAATATTCTAATACCTAGTTGTTGCTTTGACGGCTTCTAGAGGAGTGATATTACGCCTTTGTAAAAAATCTTCTAGTTCAACTAAAGCGTCCGGCATTACATTTAGTTTACTATTTACAAAATAGATAACAAATAATAAAATAAATTATTGTTTCTTAATAAATTACAAATAAACCAACATAATATAATACAAATTTGTTTAAATAAATGTTCTTTACAAGGGTCTACTAGACAAACTTATAGGAAGCTGGGTGTATTACCAATTAAATTTCTCTATACAAAAGTTGCTATTATGTTTATATTTAAGAGTTTTATCAACGTCGAAAATTATAAATTTATTGAAGTTTATCTTTTGGTCAATCCTTTGTTAACTATCTAGGGCCTGTCTACTTTAACTCTATGCCATATCAATATAAAAAAGAATATTCACTGTTTTAAAAGTAGTGTTAAAAAATTGTTTATAATTGGTTGTTTTCTCAACTATAAATATCATACTTATAATTGTCTACTTTATTTTGTGTTTAAATAGCTACGATATTACTCATTAATGTATTACTCTCTATCTCTATTACAAACTTACCTAAAATAGATAAATTTTAATTAAAAACGCAATGTAATTATTTTCATTAAACCTCTTCACTACTCTAAAGTAACGAATAATAATATAACATATTATAGATTACTTACACTGTTATACTGCAAATTTCAATGTACGTAGTTCTTTAAAATATAAAAAAACCATTAAAATCAAACATATGTTTTAACCATTTACAATTTTTAGTAAATAAAAGCAAATACCATTGCATAAAAAACATGTCCGCTGCATCTCAATTTGCACATTTTAATTTTTTAAGTTAAGTTATATTATGAATATAAATAAATATAATAGCATTGACACATACCTCAATATTATACATCTCAATAGAAGTTGTAGATATTATTATTAGGTATTACATTTTTTTAAACTATTACATCAATATAATACTTTAAATCATGTTCATATAAACATTTTAATTCTTCATTAAGATAGATTAGATTTGATTAGAAAACAGTATAATTTTATAGAAAAAAAAATGAATTGTATTTATACTTTATATATTGTGTTGTAGTATCTAAAATAAGCGTGAGCCAACCATTTTGCAATTGAGTCATCAATTTCGTGGTCAGTCTGATTTATTTTTATTTTTATTTATTCAATATAACTCCTAAAAGGCAAATAGTACAGCATAAAAAACAAGAAAAAGGGCATAATCCCACACAAAATTGGAAACCCCCCAAAAAAAACTTGCCACCCAAAACGTTCAGCTCTATTTATGCCTAATATATATTATATATAAAAACCAAATTGAGATGCAGTGGACATGCTTTTTATGCAATGGTATTTGCTTTATATACTAAAAATTGTATATGGTTAAAACATATGTTTTATTTTATTTTAATAGTTTATGTATATATAAATATTGTTATACACTATTTTTACTAATATTTAATATTATTTATTAAAATGTAAATTATAATACGCATAATTACATTTAAATAACTACAATAACGATTTAAATACTTATTTAAAAAAAAAATAATATTATTGTTTAACTATTAGGGTAATGTTTTTTTGGAGAGAGAAAGAGAGAAGTGTTTGTTAGTTTTTCCCTCAAAATTATAAGTTACTTTTTTAGTTATAATAATAAATATATTTCATATTTTAAATAATAATCCATAAGTTAAATAAATCATCAAGGTTAAATTTGTTGAGATTCAAAAACTCAGATTTTCTTATTTCATGGGTGAATCAGAATGTCCTTCAGTTTGGAGCCACTCTTTTGCAACACTGCTGAAGTAAATAAGTAAAAGACGTGTAAATACTATGTTGATTATGTTAAGACTTCAAAGAATAAAAATAAATTTCAGAACAAATGGCAGCAGATTCAATGTTATTTAATGACCCAGCATTATTTCTTTCCAAATAAATGGCACTGTAAAAACATAGTTAATGCTGTCATATTTAATTTGGTGAAATAATTATAGAAAAATGGTTAGCTATCTATGGGATAAATCAACAATCCATTATATTTATTTTTAGATCCCGTTTGAGATTATTTTAACATTTATTGTGAATTAATAAACGTAATGGCACAAATTTATTATTAATACTGGTTAGTTTTAGACCAAACAATATATTAAGTATTTATCTTAACTAATATTATTGATATTTCAATAGTGTCATTTAATACCATACCTTATAATTTCAGAATTTTATAGTTCAAGTCCTAAAAAGTTATAGGCTCTTAAATGTTACACCCTTTTGTAAAATACCAATCTTTAAAGTTACACATACATCATCAAAAAAAAGTTTTCCAAACAAAAATTATGAATCTGAGGAGTAAAGTTATAAGTGTCAGAATAAAAATGATAAAAGAATGACCTCGAGTCAGCATAAAAATTTAATGAAATTTATAAAATCTTCTATTTGTTTTTCAATTATTACTTTTTAGCTGCTTAAAAATTTGAAAAAAAAATTGTTTAAGAATATTATGAAAAAGAACACACAATAAAATTGTTTAGTGAAAATACCATTTCGATATCATAATTAGTCATTAAGTAACGGAGTCGTGAACTTAAGGTGTTTTTTTACAATAAATTTACAGAATACAGCATCGCCTAAGTCCAAAAACAATTTTTTTTTCTTTATTTTTCGATATATTAGTTTGAGGCACTTAGAAAATCCAATCGCACACACATCAGGTGATTTGACATGAAATGACCCTAGTACGTTCCGGTATGCATACTGGGCCAATATTCTGTAACACTATCAAATAAAATGAAAAAAGTTGTTTTAAGAAAAAAAGCACTTTACAACAAAATTCCGTAATATGTGTCTTAATTGTATTTTTTCAATTCAACTACTAAATTTCTATGTGTGTACTAGTAATCTTTCTTACTGTGTTGGTTTATACTGTGCTTGGTTTGGGCCATTCTGGTTTGAACCTTATTTCCACAGATTTGCATAGAAACGTATATTTAAAAGTGATTTTATCACTTTCAGTTATAACAATTCCTGTAGCCCTGTGATCTGCCCGTCCCCACTGTACTGGTAGTTTTTTTCTCATCAATATAATTTACCTATTCATTAGAAAAACATTTTTGTTCGAGCTTAACTGTCCGCCATAAGTCACAATAAAATAACCAGACTTAAAATTGTGGGCGAACCGAGGCCGTTGTTGGCAATAATATTATTATAAAAAGCCTAACGACTCACGATCATCAGCATGACTTTGTACAAAAGGAGACAAGGTCATATTTTTTTACTCGTACTGTTACCAAATGATAATATTATATAAAATGTATAACATAAATTTGATTTCTACTGTACGTTTGGAACAGATCATGACCGACTTTCGAGCCGTAGCATATTTTTTACCCATTCCCGGATGTCTAGATTATTCGTCGCGTGTAATATTATGATATTATTATCCACGGTTTCACTATAGTGTTCTTTTGTCGAAACGACGGCTGTGGGATATATTTTTTTTTCCTATACAACAGTATACCTATATCATCGTTATTACACCTGCCGCTCGTGTACCTACCTAGCGGCAGGTGCGTGCAGACCGTCGCCGAGATCGACGGTCGTCCAAGGCCCCCACCGCTTGGCTGCTCGCATGTATAATACCAATTGTGTAACTACCGTGGAGGACGTACACGATGCTATACGCACAATAATGATAATATATTCGTTGGGAGTTATGACCGTGAACACGGTTCACCTTCTCCCCGGTCTACTCGGTCGGCTGGCAGTAGTCAGTACACAGTCGGTCTCTGCGGTGTATGGCCGCGGCCAGCCGAAATCCGGCTCTGGAGAGCTGTTCAGCCGCCATTTTGTTTGCCGTTCACGACACAGCGCACCGAGTCGGTGAGTACATACAAATTATTATGTTTATTCACTTTTGTCCTACCTGTAGTATATAATAACGATTAACACGCCCGTGTGTGTGTGTGCTTTTACTTTTCGATTCGACGGTTAAAAAAACCTAATATTACGAATTTTTGTACTCTAAAACGATAGTTGCTGCAAGCAGTTGCGGTTTCTCGTGATGATGTAGTATTACTTTCCACCTCAAATATAGAATAGCAAAAAAACTATTAAATAATCATTTTTATATAATGCAAAATTAATATATAATTTTGTACGTTGTACGATTATGTTAAATAATACATTTTCGGTAATACTATTACGCCGAGAAAAATAAAAATAAATTCGTTTTAGCTTAGTTCACGTAACGGGTAGTAAAAACATATATTATAATTGGACACCCATTATTGACTGTCGGCTATTATAATTATTATTTTTATTATTATATTATGAATGTTGAACAAAGGAAACTGTGTTAAAGCATTTTAACAAAAAGGAGAGTCTAGTTGGGATGTACATAGTATTAGAGTGTAACGCCGCCGTCCTAAATTCGTTTATTTTATAAAAAATTACATTAAACATTATTAGAGGTTTACGGTGGCGTCACAAAAATTGTATACACGATAATTGAACAAATTAACATTAAATACATTGGGGGAAAATAATCAACATAACAGTACAAAGTATTGTCTACAATATTGTTTCTTTTACAATCCGCCGCACGAAAAGTGTTAATGTTTTTTGGATGTGCCTTGGGCGGTACTCCGAAATTAATATATTTATATTTATTTTTTAAATAATCGAAAATCGGTGAAATATTTAGTTACAACGCAATAGGCATTCGCATTTCGAAAGTCTATATTTGTTGGTAGGTATGTGGTGGACGGGCTTAGGTTTCGTCAACGGCACGCAACAGTGGATCGAGGCCATAGTGAGAGGGGGGGGGGTGATCGTCACGTCGAGTTACACTAGAAAGCAAATTCAAAAACATGTCCTGTTTTTTATTAACCTTACGTGATACACACTTGGTGGGGAAGAGCGGTCATGACCGGAGTTACTGAAATGTTTTTTTTTATTTTTACACGTAATAAACACTCTGTATCAATTATACTAGATACAATAAGAATATGTGATAAATGTTATACAAATCATGAAGTTTTGTTGAAAGAAGCCACCCTATTGATAACACTTTCTGTTAACTTGCTATTAATTTAATTTAAGACATCCCGACACCAATTACGCTTCAGACGTCTCGGAGGATTACCAGGTATTGTAGGGGTGGCTACTGAATTGTAAAATTTAATTAATTCGTATTCCTTTACTGTTCACGGACCTCGCATTTGTAATTCTACTACATTTTTCATTTTCCATCATTATTATTTTAAAATATTTTATATTCATTTACATACATCATAGACTGGAACCTAATTGATTCTTTTAACAACACAAATCAACCCTATTACATATTTATTTTATATAATTTTATGTATAATTGGCCAGAAAAATTAGATGGAATTGAATGGCCATCCCGAACCACTAGTACAATTGCCATAGACATAATATACAGCCGGAGATATCTCTCTAATGATAACCGTTATTTTTTTTTCGATTGTTCTTAATTAACTTTCTGGTAATGTAATTGTAATATTGGCGTTAGCTTCTATTATTATACTTTTATTATATTTTCGAGAAATATAATCCGAGGACTGACTCCCAGATTCATTTTACAAAATTAAAATGCTATGGCCATGTTAATAAGTTTGTAATAATTCTCGGTACAAGTATCAAAAACTATTAAGAAATTTGTATGTTGTTCAAGTTGAAACCAATTCAAGAAGATGGATGTTGTAAATAATTTAAGACTTTTTAAATTATAAGTTTAAATTTATTGTACATGTAAAATATGAGTAGACAACTGCTACATAGATGTATTTAGCTTGAGTCTAGTAATTCGTCTGGAGTAGCCCTAAGTTCTACTCCTATTTATATGGATATGGTAATTTGTGTAATGTGTTATTGTGTAAGTTGTCTTACATGGTTTCCTAAACATGTTAATGTAACGAAATTTCCATCTGAAACTGCAAAATGGTCTTCCGTATCCATTGCTATTTTAAGAGCTACTACGAAACTAATTGCTCGTGAACTACTCATAGTAATGTTCGAGTATGTAGTTATAAGAATTAAAAATAATTTGAGATACAGAGATGCAAAAAAAAATAATTAAATATGTTTCATAAAATTTATAACGAAGACGTCTTCTTGATCTTGACGCGATTGATGGTCAGGGGTTAAGAATTTCTAACTCTACGGAGGTGAATGTTGCAAAAAATCGTTTATATATAATACAATAAGTATTATTAAGTTGGCTATGCTAAATGTGCCAATAAAATATACTCATAATAACTTTTCACGTGAGGGGCTTGAAGTATATTATTTTCATGGTCAAGTTTTGGAATGGGCTTGTGCATGAAATGCATTTAAAAAATGGTCAGATAATTTTGAAGTCAAGTATTTTCGCTCAGGTGTAATTGCGTTACACCTCTAAATGAATAGAGCTTTCATATAAATTAATACCAGTGTACATCATGTCTCATCATGTCATCAACAGTATTTAATAAACATGCACCAGTTAAATGACCTATTTGTTCAAGTAAACCAATGTGACGTGAAAAAAAATTATCCTTCATGTTTAAATTTAATCCGGTTGCTAGAATGCTGTTAATCTTTTCTAAAGTTAATTGTCTGACTCCGCAAAGATTTCTTGTAAATTCAAATTGTTGATTTGTAGACACTGCAAATACCGTAAAATCCTCTCCTACTAGCAGCAATTTTGTTAAAACAATTTTGTATGTTCTTTAGTAGGCAGAGCTCATTGAGTTGAGGACCAAAGAGTATATATATTAAACACTTTTATGACTTAAAAGACCAGTGTCCTAATCACTTGACGGCCGTGAAAGTAGGTAGAGGCGGTGATCGGCTATTTTACCTTCAATGGGCAGTTGTCAGGTATACTTCTTCGACGATGTTTTCAATTTGCGAAGCACATAATTGAAAATGAAGTATATAGTTTCTTTTAATAGCAATTATGTAGTAAGCAAAGCTTTCTTACATCGATTTGAGGACCAAGAGAAAAAATTAATAAACACTTTTAAGCTTTAAAAGACTTTTTAAACTGTAATTAATAATAAACAAACACATGAACAATTTAAAATATAATTATTTTACTATTTACTGACACAGCATAACCGACTATGATTATTGGTTGTGAAGTTTAATAATAACTTTATGTTTTGCAAAAAAGTTTGACAAAGAGATCAATGTATTTTCTTAGTGGTTTTTTAAATACATATAGTTGGTTTACAATTTTAAACAATTATTAACAAATGACCAATTTTATTAAAACATTTAACTACGCCAACCGCAAATTTAACAATGAAATGTATGTTTTTGTGTGATTAATCAAAAAGACGCACTTCAATAATTAGTATAAGCTTAGAGCAAGACTACGCCGAGTGAGTAATTACCCTTAGAAAACAAAATCCTGCTTAAATTTTTATAATAATAAGTTCTTTTTTACAAAAAAAAAAAAAAAAAAATACTATTAAATAATAATAGTCATACAAAATAATATTTTAATTTTAGACTCAATTTAAATTTAAACTCAAACGTATTGAACATAGTTTACTGTTTTCTTACTTATAGCATTGTTCAAAATTATTAAAAAAAAAAAAAGTATGCCAAATTTTTACTGCCAGTTAATATTGTAACGTATCGTGTAAACAATACGTTTTTGTGCAAATTAAACGGGCAGTATTCTAGTGCAATCGACACGCAAGTCATGTCAAGAATACCCGTTAAAGATTTAGTCATTGATCACACATACGAAAAAGTTTATATTTATTTAACTGCGAATGTATTTACCTAAAAGAACAAATAAAACTACACTAACTGAGTTATTCAACATAGTTATTCAAGCACCACACCACTAATAAAAGAAAATTCTGTCTGCGTCGTGTACGTGGTTCGATGATTAACAAAATATAATAAGAGAGGTTCTAAAAAATTGCTATTTGTCATTTATTTTTAAAAATATTTGTACCAGGTACTCCAATTTTTACCACATGGAAACCGTTGTGGAGTTGGCTACTGGGAAAATAAGCGGGTAGCATTCTAGAAACATTGGTCTAAAATCATGTCTAGAATACACGCTTGGTGATATTTGATGATCTAACCTAATAAGGGAAGTAAAACGATCGGCAGTCGTATCTGAATAACAAATGTTAATAGTCTCAGTTATGTTGATATTATAAAAAAAAAATAGTTTGATGACATATGCGTGTGTGTGATATGATATGATTTTTTAAAAAAATTGGCAGTAGAAATAAAGTAAATTATTGTTAATAAAAAAAATTGTATTGAACAATTATTTTACATACCTAATGCTATATTGAAAACAGCAAAGTTGTAAAACAAGTTTGAATTAAAAGTATTAATCTATTTTAGTAATAAAATAAAACCAAAAAAAAAAAAAGTTCTATGCTTAACAAAATAATTTTAAATACTCATTCAAGGAAGACTTGTTAGCTTGTCGAATACTCAATACATTGTAAAATTAATCAACGCACAAAACATACTTTTCATTTTGTAAGTTTAAAAAATTAAGTACATGTTACATACAGAAACGCGTTTTAGTAAGGTCATTAAGATACGTTGATTTTTTACATATCCACCCTTAAAGAAAAATTAATTCCTTTAAAATCTTTTGAAAGTTATTGAAATAATTTTAAAAATGACTTCTTTATACAACATGAAAAGGCATTGAGCAAGTGAGTTAATTAAGCTATTGAGAAATAATCATTTTGGCATTTAACAAATACATTGGTTTTTGTTAATAAATTAAAATAACGAATTATTTATAAAAATATATTTATGTTTTTTTTAAACAACAAAATTCTTAAAGACTAATGTTAGTAACTGATCTTTAACTTAAAATCCTTTAG